GGTATAGACGGGGTTAAAGTAGATGTTCAGAACATCCTTGAAACACTTGGAGCAGGTCATGGTGGAAGAGTAAAACTTGCAAGAAAGTATCATCAAGCATTAGAGGCATCTATTTCTCAAAACTTTCCTGATAATGGAATTATTTCATGCATGAGCCATAGTACTGATAATTTGTTCAGGTAATTTTCTCTCTCTCTCTCTCTATATCTTGCTTATAAAATTGAAGCTGGACTAGTTGTTCTAAGAAACGGTACTTATTGTGAATAGACACTCTTTTGCAAAATTCTGACTTGGTTTTGTTTCTCTTATATCGTGTAGTGCGAAACGCTCAGCTGTTATTAGAGCTTCAGATGATTTCTGGCCAAGAGATCCTGCATCACACACCATTCACATAGCATCGGTGGCTTATAATACTATTTTCCTTGGGGAGTTCATGCAGCCTGATTGGGACATGTTTCATGTGAGTTGACATGATTTTTGGTTCCTTTGTGTATATACTTCCCAACTTCCCCTAAAAAAGCTCAACTGACTAAAATGCTTATTGACTTTTTCTTAATATGTTAAGAGTGTGCACCCAATGGCTGAATACCATGGAGCAGCACGGGCTGTTGGAGGCTGCGCTATTTATGTCAGGTGCTGCTTATATACACTGTTTAGTTATTTGGTAAACAGTTAAATTTTGGTTAGCATTTCTCATGGCTGCCAATTAACATGCAGTGACAAGCCTGGACAACACGATTTTAATCTTTTAAAGAAGCTTGTACTTCCAGATGGTTCCATATTACGCGCCAAACTTCCAGGAAGGCCAACTAGAGACTGCTTGTTTTCTGATCCAGCAAGAGATGGAATAAGGTATTTGCTTGATCAGTCTTCTTCCAAAAAAATCATCTTTTTCAACAGTGATACAGTTTGTAATGTGTTTTATTTTCCTTATGTATGCAGTCTATTGAAGATTTGGAATCTGAATGATTTCAATGGCGTAGTTGGTGTGTTCAATTGTCAAGGAGCTGGGTGGTGTAAGGTCGGCAAGAAGAATCTAATCCACGATTATCAACCAGAGACGATAACTGGGATTGTCCGGGCTAATGATGTCAACTACTTACCTAAGATTGCTCATGATGGATGGACTGGGGATGCCATTCTCTATTCTCATCTTCACAGTATGAACCTTTTTTCTAAATTTATTATCTTTTATTATGATTACTGCTTTCATCTAGAGGAAAAGTGCATTTTGTTGACCTGATTGATTGTATTACCCACTGCAGGAGACTTGGTCCATCTTCCTAAAAATGCATCTTTTCCAATTACTCTTAAGGCAAGAGAATATGAAGTCTTTACCGTGGTTCCAATCAAGGTAATGTCAACTGGATCTAGATTTGCTCCAATTGGACTTGTAAATATGTTCAATTCAGGAGGAGCAATCAAAGAATTGAAGTATGAAACAGAGGGAAGCGGAATAATCTCCATGAAAGTTCGCGGATGTGGCATGTTTGGAGCTTATTCATCTGTGAAGCCTAAAAGAATACAAGTGGACGATAAAGAGTTACAGTTTGATTATGAAAAATCCTCTGGATTAGTCACTCTGGCTCTTAGAGTTCCTGACAAAGAGTTATACGCTTGGGACGTAAGGGTTGAACTTTGAAGTATGAAAAGTGCGAGATGATCATTGTGATGTATGACTAATTGTCGGATGAGGTGAAGACTTGTAAACTGAGTCTCTCTTTTCCAGTTACTCATATTTTGAATTTAGAGGGCGATATCTGTCATTGAGGTCCTGATGTTGTAGCTTTGCACCAATGTTGATCAATCTGCTGGAAATTCCCATAGCGATGATCTATTGGTCCTGTATCTTAGTTATCCGAGCCTTGGATATGATCGACTCAAATAGATGCTCTTCATAATATTTATTTCCTTCTTTTCTTGTTCTATTGATCAGAAGCATCTAAGTGCGCTGCTCATCTTGCATGTTACTAGTTCAAACATGTCCATTTGAATTTAAGGGGTGATAATGCAACATTCTTCAGCTGGCTTTAACATACAAAATAAATATTTAGAGATCTCTAGTGAATACATGGGAAGATATACAAGTTTTCACCATGAGGAAGTGATGCCATGGATGCAATTTCAAATGGTGCAATAACTGGTGTTTGCTTTTTGGGCTTGACTTGAGGAGTTTAGTCCACAAGCCAACTTTCAAGATTCAAAAATATCGTTGCCTCTGAACGCTTTTATGATCACTTACAGTTGACAGTCTTCAAGTGTGTGTTGATGCTGACATCCACTTCAACAAGGAAAGAAAAAAAATGAGGCATGCCCATACCTTGGGAAAAAAGTGACACTAGCATAGAATCTTAACCGAATACCGGGGCAGAGCTAGAACAAAGTATGGGCTTGACCGAATATAGTAGTTTAATTCAAACTCTGTATTCTTTTTGGTAACATTGTGAATATTACCATTGATCAACCAAATAATTACGCCTAAAAAGCACTTTACCTTATAATCTCCTTCAGCCTCAACACAAATTCTATACATCAATGATACTCCTTAAGAAATCTCTACATCTACTTGCCTTCTTTGACATTTGTATATCATTTAATCTAACTAATGTTTCCTTCTTTATCTGCTCCACAACCTCTGCAGTATTTACTGTCATGGGCGGCTTTCCAGCCGTGCCCCATGACCCCTTGGGCGCGCCCCGTGGCGTCCT